ATTTTCACAGTGGTGAAGCAGAGGCAATTTCTTTTCGTAGTTCTTGGGTGCAACATCAACAGCAAATAAATATTTGCTATATTTCCGTAAAATGAGTTTAAATGTTTACATAGTACATCTGAGAAACAATTCTTAGAAATTCTATCATAAGAGCAACGTTCACACAAACCATGGTAGCAGTCAAGGATGTGAAAGTGAGAGTAGTCCAGTGTATATGTGTGTTTAGGTTTGACTTGAGTTAATACCGAAAGTGAGAAAAAGAAGGTTTGGCAGCAGAATCAAGAAGTAATCTCAAATATTTAATAATAGTGAGCGATGCAGTTAAATTGATCTTACACTTTTACTTACTCGCTACAAAATGTTTTTGCAAGTAAAGATAATTTGCCACAGGTTAACGTACAACTCTACGAGTCTTTCTTGATTACAAGTGACCTGACATCAACATTATTAAGACCAGTCCTTTTTGAGCATATTGAAGTAGAGAGCAGCGTGTTGTCTCTGATGCACATGTGCCTCGTAGCCCATTGTTGACACCACACTTACAAATTCCGGATGCGTTTTCGAAGTACAGCAAAGCTGAATCATCAATTGAAATTGCGAGCTTCACGGCCATAGCTTTACCTGCTCTCTTAATTTCTGCAGTTCAGCTCTCAGACCGTCGTTATACCAGCACATTACTATCACAATAGTGATACCATATCTATAAGTTCAGAAGTCATGATCCTTTCCAGTTTTTCAGAGCATAATAAATGAATGACATCATGCAAAGACTCACATCAGTAACGAGTAGTTGAATATAATCACGATAATGTTCCGGTAATAAATCGACATTTCAAAATCGTCCACGAGGAGGCAAAGGGCAGAAATCACGTTTAGTAAGCCTATCCAGATGACCGTGTGGAAAATAAACTAAATAGTTGATTACCTTTATGAAAATTAGGATAGGGAACGCACCTTGCAGACCCGGATGTTTTGTGCTATCTGATAACGTTCTCCCAAAGAATACGTCCTACTCTTAGTGATATCATTGCTCATTGATTCAAAATAGTAACGCTTGTTGGTGTCAATGTTGAACTTATTTATCTGAGATTGAACGATGTATTCATTTTCATTCTGCGAGTTTGATAAAAAAGAAAAAATAATATCCTAAAATTAAGAGGAGGAAACGGTCAAAAGTGAACGGTCCCCACTTACGAGAGGCGGATATTTGGTTGAAGTGGCCATTTGCAAAAGAGATTTATATGGGTAAGCATTTGAACACCTGAATTTCAATTTACCTTCCTTATCCGCAAAGCATTCTGTGAAAGGAACTATGTTTTCTGTTGTTTTCTCCCCATTTCGGCATTTTCTATAGAAAGGCGCGGCAATGCTTTCGTGGCTGTTTGAGTTCCTTCATACTACGCCGCAGG